CGGGGAGCAGCGGGGCTGGGGACGCTGCATGGGGTGGAGGGGTACAAGGCAGTGGGGCTAGGGAGCGTTGCAGCAAGGTGAGTGGGACTGGGGGTTGTGTGCGGAGTTTGGTGTGAGATGCAGGAGGTTTGGGGATGTGCAGTGGGGCTGGGGGAGGAGGCACTGGAGATGAGGTTGGATGTCTGGGAGGTGTATTTTGGGGGTGTTCCTGGTGAGGATGCACTGGGAACAGCAGGAGGGGTCTAAAGAGGGGTGCATTGAAGATAGGGGGATGTATTGGGGTTTCTGGGGTGGTTCGGAGCTTCCCTGACCGAGGGATGGCTGGTGAGGGCCTTGGCTGGGACAGGTCATAGGAAATGGAGTGTGTGTTACTCGATGGAGGGGCTGGCTCCCACGGGGGGGGCTGGGTGGGTGGTGGTGTTTGTGGAGTTTCCCCCCTGTACAGGAGACACGAGCTCTGTTTTCTGGCCTGGAGCTTGGGGTTCGAGTATGGCCAGCACTGACCGGAGTGAACCTGCCTTCCAGCCTCTAAGCCGGATGCGTGCCATGCATGTACCCGTAAAGCCCACAGGGCAGAGCCAGCTTCTCTTGGCCTTGCGTGGCCATGTGTTATCGCAGACTGTGAATCTGCTGCTCACCGTCTCTGCTGACACAGTGTCTGACACCAGTAACAGCAATTGTTCATGTGGGAGAGTGGCATGAAGGAAGTACTTGGATCTTCATCTATCGAGATAAACGTCTAGCCCTGTGCAAACAGGAGATCATTTTGCTTTTTACTATCGGTTTGCTGCTCAGCCCCCTCTTCTGGGCCTAAGGAACATGATCAGGTCACCCCGAGTGTTTGCTGGACCTGACATTGACCAGTCCATACTCCAGCACTTGGAAAAAAGATTAGTAAACATTCAACTTCTTTATTTACAGTTTATTTTAACCTGTATATCTTTATCTGATTGACTCCTGAGCAACAGCAGGATATCATCCTCCCTGTTCTGCTCTGACACCCAAGGTATTGCTGTTGTCTTCCAAAGAAGTGTTGGGTTTTTTTTAT